TCCTCTCGGGATCTTGGGCATGCACGCACAGGCGCCCAGCGTGAGTTTAAGTCACCAGGTCTGGGACTTGAACTGCAGTCAACTACATGGGAGTCCAGTGACATAGCCATTATGCCAACTGCTGGTTCCCCCAAAACATTTCTTTAAAGCTCTTTACCACATTATGGTTGACATCCCAATTGCACACATAGCTCGAATTGTTGTATGGTTAGATTGTATGTGTGAAGTAAGTGCTCCTGGAGAAAGTCAATGAAAAATATATAAAATCTAAATCTTAAAAGAGAAAAATATGGTTAACTGATACAGTTAAAATTATTTTTCCAAATCATAGTATACACTAAAGGGACTGAGAAAGTCTATTGTCTATAATTACGGTAAAACTCTTTTGCAAAGGGAACCAGCAGTTAGCATAATGGCTATGTCGCTGGACTCCTACGTAGTCGACCATGGTTCACAGCACGGACCCGGTGGCTTAAAACTCACGCCGAGCGCGTGTGCGTGCGTGCCCAAGATCCCGAGAGAAGAATGGAGGAGAAGGGATTGCGGCGTGGCCATCCCCCCTGGGGGGTGATTTCTCGCTTTCTGTCTCTCTGTCTCTCTCTGTCTGTCTGGCGAGTGCATGCACCCTATAGCAAAAACCTCTCCAAAAAAAAAGAAAAACTCTTTTGCAAAGAGCTTGGTTTTATAACCCAGGTACTTCAGAAGTGATCTGTTTAACTTCCATTTGTTCATTTATCTTGGGAGCTTTTTTAGGAGGGACTAACCACATCGGCAGCAGCCCCGCAAGACACGTGGTGCTCTCACCCCCAGGGGAACTCTGGCAGTTTTTACTTCTACTTTGCAATTCATCTTCACTGATTTTTTTCTTAAGTCGTTCTGTGCCATTTCTCTAGTCACCACCAAGTTTGGGCAATTCGAAGATGCACTCCCTTTATTATCTCTGTATTTACAATTGCAGAGACATAGTTTTGCATAGCACTGAATAAGTTTATCAAAATGAACACAGACAAAAAGCTAGCAGGCTGCGATTGTTCCTAGAGCTTTTGGGTGTCGCACTGAAAAGAACATCAACAGAGCAATATAGTTTAGGACAAGGTCACCAGTTTTTCTTATTTTACTGGCCGGGACAGATTAACAATGAAAATAGGCGTCAAGGAACTATTCAATTCAGGAGTCTTCCATAAAACTGTAGGGAACAATTTTTTAAAGTTTCTTTCTCTCATTAGTAAGAGAGACAGAGAAAAAGAGAAAACATTCCAAGAGGGTCCCAATCCAGCCCCAGCCTTGAGCCTGAGCTAGATGACAGGCAAGCATGTGCCTGGTGTGCTCAGGGCTGTCTCTGAGCTTGACTCAAGAACCTTCCCATGTGGGCCAGCCGCATGGTGTTGTGTTTTATTGATGTGCCATCCTCCAACCCCCATACAGAAATTTTTTGTATATCAGTACAATTTTAGAACGCAACCTGAAAAAATTTAAGTCAAGGTCATCGTGCAGGGCTAAGCTGGGTTTGGGTATTAGATTTGCAATCTGCCTCCTGCTACGTGAATGATAGCCTGCAAATCATGTCATGCTAGTACTGCCACTCCTAATAACAACGAGGAGGCTATCTAACGTGCGTTGGAGGTCACTATATGCTGGGTGGAGTCGTTCCATTACAGTTTATACTGACTATCTGGCTTAATCCTCATACAAACCGTGTGAGGCAAGTACTATTATCATCTTGTGAAAGAATAAAAGTAAGAATGTAATTCTTCAAATATACACAATTAACATAGGATCTGAGGCAGGAGCTCAGTTATTCTGTCTCTCCATCCTGACCTTTTAGCTACATTCAGCTTCCTCTCTGACCTTCGGTTTCCTCCTCTATGAAGTAAGCACAGCAACTTGGTCAGGTTGGCAGGAGGAACAGGGACCATGTAAGACAGTGCGGTGACTGCTCTCTTGGTGTGGCTATTAACGGTGATTGTAACATTTGTCCCCTTCTTTAAAACAAAATTTGCCAGAGGGCACATACACTCCTTGAAGAAAGAGAAAGAAAGGGAGAAAGCAGCCCCCATGGTCATGGGCATGCCACAACCCCTTCTCCTCCATTTCTCCCTCCTTTCAGGATTTTGGGCACATATGTCCAGAGTGTTTTTCCAAGCCACTGGACCTAAGACTAGAACCACACAGTCAGGCGTGTGCGATCCAGCTGCCTTGACCACCATGCCAGCAGCTGACCCCGTTAATCAATTTCTAACAAGAAGGACTCACTTATCCTTTCTTCACACACGTATTTTTATGAACAAAGTTAAGCCCTACTAACTTAGAAAAAGCTGTCAACCTTTTTCTGGTGTCTGCAGGGTCAACCTGTGACTCAGGCACCCTATATGCGAGAGTTTGGAAGCCTGCCTAGAGGTAAACGCTACCAGTAATGTGTTCCATATAGAGGATAATTCCTGCCTTTTTAGCCGTGAGAAAACAGACATGAATCTGGGCCCACGGTCCTCCGTATAATCTGTGTCGAAGAGAAGCCTTCTCCTGCTAGTGGTTCTACCTGGCATCCTACCTGGGATTTTGCTCAGGCAATGTTATGGATTTATCTGACCCTAAAGCATCACATGACTTTTTTTTTTTTTTTTGAGAGGTTTTTGCCGTTGGGTGCATGCACTCGCCAGAAAGACAGAGAGAGAGACAGAGAGACAGAAAGTGAGAAATCACCCCCCGGGGGAATAGCCATGCCACGATCCCTTCTTCTCCATTCTCCTCTTGGGATCTTGGGCATGTACGCACATGTGCCTGGTGTGAATTTAAGCCACCGGGTCTGGGACTCGAACTGTGGTCGGCTACATGGGAGCTCAGTGACATAGCCATTAGGCTAATGGCTGGTCCCCACATGACTTTTTGAGAGCTACCGCTAGCCAGGAATCTCATTGCGAAATGACCATCCTCAAGGCAGCAGTCTGACATAGCAGCCTCCATTTCAGTGGCATTTCCATCTTTAGCACTGAGAGTAGCATAGCAAATCAACAGTGGCTACTTCACTGTGAGCTTACTGACTGGATGTGTAAATATTAAAGACATGCCTTTATGCTGTACACATACTTTCTGACCAGACATTGAGGATGCAACAGCTGAGACACGGAGGATGCAACAGCTGGCACCGAAGGCCTCTTGTGCAACCAGAGATGCTTGTCCAGAAAGCTCAGGTCTGGCTAGATAGCTTCTAACCCTCAGAGGAGCCTGCTGGTTGTTACCCAGTGTTCTGTCATCCCACAACATATGGGCTGGCAGGGGATGCACAAATTACATCTGGAGCCCCTTCTGTTCGCTGCCCTATAGCCACCGTGGCTCCGAACCATGCCATGTGAAAAAAACTTAGCTAGTATATTGCACAAATGTTTAAATCACTTAAAAAACTTCCTTTTCTAAAGCGGTGTTTCAGAAACACAGGGACCTGATTCTGCCTGCATCGGAAGCACCTGGGTTAAAAATGAAAATTCCTGGGCATGTTAGTCTATTTGTGAGTCTGTTGTTTGTCTCCCGTGTTTTCATATAAGCCCTGGACAGTAGAAACTGTTCTGTTGCTCTGGTACCCCTGCTCCTAGAATTGTTTGAGCCACTCAGTAAATATTTGAGTGAATTAATACTTGGACTCTGTCATGACCTATTGAATCAAAATGACTAAGAATGGGGCCAAGGAATCTGTATTTTCACTAAGTACTGAGGTGATCCTTATGAACCCTAAATTTTTGCTTTTGTTTGTTGTTTTCATTGTTTGCCACAGGGTGCGTTCACTTGCCAGAGAGAGATGCAGAGAGGAGTGAGAGAGGAGAGGGGAAGTGAAAAAACACACCCCATAGGGCATAGTCATGCCACAATCCCTTATCTTCCATTTCTTCCGTGGCTCCGAACCATGCCATGTGAAAAAAACTTAGCTAGTATATTGCACAAATGTTTAAATCACTTAAAAAACTTCCTTTTCTAAAGCGGTGTTTCAGAAACACAGGGACCTGATTCTGCCTGCATCGGAAGCACCTGGGTTAAAAATGAAAATTCCTGGGCATGTTAGTCTATTTGTGAGTCTGTTGTTTGTCTCCCGTGTTTTCATATAAGCCCTGGACAGTAGAAACTGTTCTGTTGCTCTGGTACCCCTGCTCCTAGAATTGTTTGAGCCACTCAGTAAATATTTGAGTGAATTAATACTTGGACTCTGTCATGACCTATTGAATCAAAATGACTAAGAATGGGGCCAAGGAATCTGTATTTTCACTAAGTACTGAGGTGATCCTTATGAACCCTAAATTTTTGCTTTTGTTTGTTGTTTTCATTGTTTGCCACAGGGTGCGTTCACTTGCCAGAGAGAGATGCAGAGAGGAGTGAGAGAGGAGAGGGGAAGTGAAAAAACACACCCCATAGGGCATAGTCATGCCACAATCCCTTATCTTCCATTTCTTCCTCCTTTTGGGGTTTTGAGCATGCACACAGGTCTGGCGTTTCTTTTCTTTTCCTCTACTTCTTTCTTTCTTTCTTTCTTTCTTTCTTTCTTTCTTTCTTTCTTTCTTTATTTATTTATTTTTGCTTTGCAGTTATTTATTTATTTATTTATATTTTTTAATATATTTTTGATTTCAAGAAAAGCAGTTTTGACTTTAATAAATCAAAGAAATGCTAATTAGAACTTTGCTTAAAACTTAAAGCCAGGAAATAGGTTAGGATTCTATTCAAATAATAGGTACATGAACCTATCATCAGCTCAAGACAGGACCAAAATCCTTAAAACTGGAAAACAAAGCCTAGAAGAAAATCAGCAATATTTTAGTCAAAAGTCATAAAATACTATTTTACCAGTTCAGTCTCATACTTATTCTATCTTCTGTTGTGGTTCAAGCTTCCTGATTAAATTCTGGGATATAATATTCAACTCTAGACTTGTCCCTATAATTAGGGTGGCCATTTTCTTAGTTTTTGAACTCTGATTTCTGTGTGCCTGTATTTAATTTTCCTGGTATAGCACTCCCAAAATTATGGAACGCTTCACAAATGTACGTGTCATCCTTGCACCAGGGCCATGCTAATCTTCTCTGTATCATTCCAATTTTAGTATATGTGCTGCCAAAGCGAGCACTAAATCTGTTTCATTTCTCGAGGTTGTACCTGTCTTTTGACCAGGTGTTTATATTTAGAAATGAAGATTTAGATTTATCATTTCTGGAAGCCATCATAAAACTCTCAAAAAACAGGACCAGCAGATGGTGTAGCGGTTACATTGCTGGACTCCCACATAGTCGACCCAAGTTCAAGTCCTGGACCCGGCGGCTTGAAACAACAGGCACATGTGTATAAAACCCAAAATCCTGAGAGGAGACTGAAGGACAAGGAATTGTGGCATGGCCATTGCCCCTGGCACATGATAAGATCTTCTTGGGTTGATTCTATTGGGGGTCCTTTGTATTTCTTGGGTCTGGATCTTTGAATGCCTCTCTAGGTTTGGAAAGTTTTCTTCCAGGATTTCATGGAATAGATTATCAATGCCCTTATGAGTCTCTTCATCTTCTGGGTTACCAATTACATGGATGTTTGGACATTTGATGGTATCTAATATTTCTCATATATTATTCTCATTTTTTTTGGCAATTTTTTCAGTCTTTGTGGTGGATTTTTTTAGGCCAGCAATTCTAACTTCTATGTCTGAGATTCGATTTTCTGTATGATCTTGTCTGCTTTTAATACTTTCAAGGAAGATTTTGACTTCCTGTATTATAGCCTTCATCTCTTACAGGTCTATTTGATTCGTTTTTATAGTGTGTATTTCCTCTTTTAGATCTTCCAAGAATTTTCTCACCTCCCAGAACTCATCAACTCCTTTCTCTTCTGCAGTTCATTGCCTCTCTTCTTTTCCATCTCTGCTAGCTTCGACATTATGAATGTTCTAAATTCTTTATCAGACGTTTCCATGATTTCCATTGAACTGTCTGTAGATGAAGAGGAGTTATTCTTTTCCCTTGAAGGAGAGGTATTTTCTTGCTTTCCCATATTTCTTGTGGCCCTGCGGTGATTTCTAGTCATCTGATGGGTGGTGTTTCTTCCTAATTCTTGAAGTTCAATCTGAGCATTAAGGAGCATACAGAAGGAGAAAATCTGGAACCTCTTTGTCATTCTATTTTTATCCCTTAGTGCAGCAGATTCAGTAGATATTCAGGAATATGTTAAGCCTGATAGTATTTGGATGTTTGGCTATGGTTCCTATAGATACGTCTAGAAATACAGTGAGTGGAGATTGAGGACCAAAGTGATGATACAAAAGAAAAAGAATAAGAAAATAGAGAGAAAAAAAGAGAGGACAAAAGAAGGGAAAAAAGATTTTTAAAATTATTTTTAAACAAAGCAAAAAATAAAAGACCACATGGCGTGCTTGCACACCACACAAAATGACTAGTTCTCAGCAGCAAGGAAAGAGTCTTCTTCTGAAGGACTGCGCCTTGCCTCTCCTAGAGGGGAGGAGGAGGCCTGGCATTTCTTAAGCTACCGTTCTGGGACTCAAACCAACACAATCAACCATATATGGGTTCCAGCTCCCTTAACCACCACACCACAGGCTGGTTCACATGCTAAATTTTAAATGCCAGGGCCCTAAAGTAATTGAGGCAATTCTAAGACAGGTCAAAAGATGAAAGGTTTTGTCCCCAGAGACTCCATACTTTCTGTCTGCTCAGACCTTAAGGTAAAATAAACATATTGATATCCTTGGGTTAAACTTTTTCTTCTAATCATATTCCTCCAACAAATGTTTATCTACCACCTGGTGGATGGCAGGCTGTTGGTTTCTAAGTGTACAAAGAAATAATATCTTGAAAGGCAGAGTGCCAAGAAAGCATAGAGCCACATCCACTGCCTTCTGCTCTGCCAGAAGTGAACACCTAGAGTGGATTATTTGACAAGCCTTCTCCCTCTTCCTGGCCAGGGCTCACTGATGCAGAAATGGAACACCGTTTCCTTCATTACTGTTTACTGGCAGGCCTGCTTGACACCTCTGAGCCATGAAACTCAGATATTTTCTTATAATGTATTTTAAATAGGGTGGTAAAATATGACACTCTGATAGAATGACCCAAGTGGAAGGAGGATTCCAGGTTCATGCCTGGAGACTTCCCTGAGCACCTATGACACACACGTGCCCATGATCTGGGACTGGCTGAGGCTGAGAAAGGTGTCAACACCCTGTTGGAAGTACTGTTTCTCTCTCTGTCTCTGTCTCTGTCTCTCTTCCCCCCTCCCTCAACCTTCTCTCTCTCTCACTTATGGAGGAAATAAACAAGTTCGTGTTTTTCTTTTTGCTAGGTAAGTTTTATTAATTAGAATGAAAGAATGCAGATATATACTATATTTTAACAATAAAGTCTTACCTGTGCTCTAAATACAGACAATTATAGCTCCATATTATTTAATTTGGTCAAGGAACACTGTTTCCAAAAAAAAAAATTAGGATTTCTTTTTTCCGTGGTAACTCTAGGTGATTTTGATCTATCATCTGAAAGCTAATAAAAATGTCTTTATAAGAATACAGAATACTGGACCAGCAGTTAGCGTAATGGCTATGTCGCTGGACTCCCATGTAGTCGACCGCGGTTCAAGTCCTGGACCCGGTGGCTTAAACTCACGCCGGGCGCGTGTGTGTGCGTGCCCAAGATCCCGAGAGGAGAATGGAGGAGAAGGGATTGCGGCCATCCCCCCTGGGGGGTGATTTCTCGCTTTCTATCTCTCTGTCTCTCTCTGTCTGGCGAGCACACACGCCCTATAGCAAAAACCTCTCCAAAAAAAAAAAAAAAAGAAAAGAAAAAAAGAATACAGAATACTGAGACCAGCAATTAGTGTAATGGCTATGTCACTGGACTCCCATGTAGTCGACCGCAGTTTGAGTCCCGGACCCAGTGGCTTAAACTCATGCTGAGTGCGTGTGCATGCATGCCTAAGATCCTGAGAGGAGAATGGAGGAGAAGGGATTGCGGCCATCCCCCCTGGGGGGTGATTTCTCGCTTTCTATCTCTCTGTCTCTGTCTGCCTGGCTGGCGAGCGCACGTGCCCTATAGCAAAAACCTTCCCCCCCCTCAAAAAAAAAGAATACAGAATACTGGCAAGCTGTAAGAAAAAACTGT